CACCATGTTGACCAGGATGGTCTCGATCTCTTGACCTCGTGATCCACCTGCCTCGGCCTCCCAAAGTGCTGGGATTACAGGCTTGAGCCACCGCGCCCGGCCACAATCCCTTTTTCTTTAACGATAAATGTCTAATGTATGTAATCTCCTGCCTTAAATATCTAAAAAAGATACACAATATATGAGTGAACTTCATCAGTGCTTGAGGAGTAAAGGACTCAGGATGACTTTCCATGAGAGAAAGGAAACAATGAAATGAGCCTTAGGATTGCCCCAGCTTAGTGCCTGGAGAATGTTTCCAGTCTGCAGCATTGAGAGGAGAAACCCAAGCAGATCCCAGCCATCTCTCTGAATTGAGACAGTTTTGGGTTTGAGGAATTTAAGGTGGCCCAAATTCTTGAGTTGGATTACTGGGGAAGAGCTGCACTCAGAATTGAGAGTTCTGTTGTTTCCCCCACAAGCCTTTGAGTCATAATCAGCACATGTATATGAGGAAACCCCCCCCCCCCCCGGTTGGAGGAAGAACTATTGGAAATGAACAGGCAGAAAAATCCTTGGATGCTACACAAGGTTGGGAGTAATCGGCATTTCCACCAGCTGGAATGGAAATGCCTCCAAACATTTGGAGAATTACAGTGGACCTTAGGAGTGTTGCTTTTATGGGTGGCTCAGATTTGCTCTATATTAAAGGCTGCCTTGAGCCCGCCTCACAAAACATACATACAAGCTACAAAAAGGCCAAACTTTCCAAGTTTTTAGCAGTTTTCCGGACAGAGACTAATAAATAGAAAGCCATCTGTCAGTAATTGACCATGTCTGGCATCCAATCAAAAAACTTACACAGGTGTGCAAAGAAGCAGGAAAATACAACCCCGTAACATGAGGAAAACTCAGAGACCTAGAAGTGACACACTGATATAGCAGGAAAGGATGTTGGAAACAGATGCTATAAATGTCCCATATGTTCAAGAGGGCTGAATAAAGTGAATTATAAAAGTTATAATTTACTGAGGGTTCCCCTCCACCTGAACAAGGGAGAGATGAAGCTTGGTCTAGTTACTGGAGCCAATGCTCCTAGGTTGTTCAGCCTCCCAGGGAGGGACCAGAGGAGGCAATTGGGACCAGGTTCTCTGAGGGAGAAGCAAGCACTGCTGAATTTGTGGAGTGTCGTCTACCCCATGTTTAGCCTCTCTTTGCCTTTTCTGGGACCTGAGACTTCTGAGCAGGGCTGCTAAGCTTCCTGGGAAGTGTAATTTGGGCATGGGCAGTGCCTAAGACACCTGTGCTGGGCTGTTGAGGTTTCTGGGAAGTACAGTTAGGAGGCCTAACAACTCTTATTCTAGTTAGCGGCTGGTATGTCTTGACTGTTTAGCCCCAGTAGGGGTTTCTGGTACACATCTGCCTTTGGCCATTTTTCTCCACGTGAGTGAATTCTATCTGGGTGTTCAAGGCAGTTGAAGAGGTAACAGAACCTTAGCCAGTGCTTGCTGGGGCTTCTTTAGGCAGCATTATGAGGCAATTGGCCTTGGGCATATCAATTCTGAGCTCATCTGGCAGTTCTGCTTTGCCTGGGGCAGACTTTGGTAGGTCAGACCCAGTCAGTTCTTGGTGAGTCTGCCCTGCTGTGTGGCTGAGGTGGGAAGCAGTTCTTGTTCTTCTTGCTCTCATGGGCCAGATGGATCCCATGTTGGAGGCTGGGGAGGGGACTCAGGGCATGGGTCTTACTTAACCTTACTCTGCTGACTCTCCTTTTACACCCCAGATGAAACATTTCTAGGTGTGTAGGTGTCGGTGTGTGCTATGGAGTATCCAGAACTGCTCTATTAACAACTGCATCAGTGTTAACAGAAAGCTTCTAGAGCAGTATCTACAGTGAAGTGCTTTAAGGACTAAGTCAGCAACTTTTCAACTTCTAAGTGGGAAGATGATTTATGTATAAAGAAATTCGACAGACTTAAAAACCTAGCAACTCCTGGTACACAGATTTACAGATTCTACCCACTTTGTCTTGATTCCCAGTTTAGAACTTGGGTCTGTAGATTCTAGAACCTTCCAGAAATCCATTATCAGTTCCTCCACCAGAAGTTGCCTGGCTCTGATCCCATGCAAGGGAGAAGATAGTCCAGGTTCTCGTTGCCTTTTTCTGTTTATATTTAGGGGTGGAGGTAGAGGACTGGAAATTCCTCATTGGTCCTGATTAGTCTGACCTCTGAGGGCTTTTTCCAACCTTAGCTTTGTGCTTTTAAAAAGTTGTGCTTCATTAAGAGAGGGAAATTTAGTAATTGTCAATTCTGATGGCTGGGCCCCTCTCTGAAATGTCTCCTTTACTCTTGGCAAGAGATCTTTTGCAAAAGGTTCAGAATCAGAAAAGCCAACAGCTAGATCATACCTTAGAAATGAAGCTTTTTCCTAAGAACAGAAGAAAATGATAAAAGCCATGATGAGGCTTTGTTTCTTACTTTTGCCTTTCTCTACAATGGATTTGCAAGGCTTAATACAAATAACTATTATATGAAAATACACACATTTCTAATTTAAAAATTTAGGGAAAACCAAACAGAAACCATAAAATCAAGGTTCAGACAAAGGTAGAATGAGGAAATGTAGCTTCATGCAAAGTACATTAAGTTTGAATACAGGTGAATAAATATGTAAGAAGGAAGGAAGGTATGATGTACTTAAATTGTTTCTGATAGTTGTTTTTTTTTTTTTTTTTGAGACAATCTCACTCTGTTGTCCAGGTTGGAGTTCAGTGGCATGATCCTGGCGCACTGCAACCTCTGCCTCTTAGGTTCAAGTGATTCTCTTGCCTCAGCTGCCTGAGTAGCTGGGATTGAGGTGTGTGCCACCACACATGGCTAAGTTTTGTATTTTTAGTAGAGATGCGGTTTCACCATGTTGGCCAGGGGCCTCAAACTCCTGACCTCAGGTGATTTGCCCACCTTAACCTCTCAAAGTGCTGGGATTATTAGGCGTGAACCACCATGCCTGGCTTGTTTCTGATGTTTCTGGCATCAATAATGTATTAATTTTCTGTTGATGCCAAAACAGATTCTCACAAATATTTAGCAGCTTGAAACAACACATTTATTATCTCACAGTTCTTTAGGTCAGCCTGGGTGACATAGTAAGACCCTGCCCCTATTCCAGTACTATTTTTGCTTGCTTTGTAAGTGACTAGAAAATAAATAATTTATTGTGTATTCTCGAAAAGCTAGAAGAGAGGATTTTGAATGTTCACTACACAAAGAAATGATAAATGTTTTAGGTGATGGATATGCTAATTTCCCTGATTTGACTATTATACATTGTATACATGTATCAACACATCACTCTGTATCCCTTAAATATGTGCAGTTATGACATGTGAACTAATACCAGAAGAATACACTGTACCCCTAACCGTTAATCTAAACCATCATCAGCCCTGACTACTTCCCAAAATTACAGCTTCATAAAACCAAGTCAACTTCTTGGAATTTCTGTGGGCACAAACAGTAGGCATGACAAACTAAACATTCTGAAAACAATGTCTCCAATTCTCCTATTCCCTGACCTGCCCCTTCCTTCGTTTTCTTTTAGGAATCAGAGCCATTGTCCTCTCATTTGATGAAGTGCCAAGTCTAAAATTTATTATTGATTTTTCTCTCATTTGGTAACCAAAATCCAAGTGCTTGCTGATTTTATGTGCCCCAAGAATCACCTCCAGTGCTGCCATGCTCATACAGTCCCATGCCATCTCTTGCCTGGGTGCCTGAACTAGCTTTCACAGATAACTCACTCTCTCCATGAACAGAAGAAAAAATGGCTTTTTAAAACACAGTCAACAGAGATACTTCCAACAGTGATGGCAAAAAAAGAGACCAGATTTATGCTGCTACCTTAAACAACTGAAAATCTAGGGAAAATGGGAAAGAATGGTTTTCCGACACTGGACAATGGATAGTATAGCATTGCAATCTCCAAAAAGGGGAAATAAATAAGATGATCCCTGTGATTGCTCTGCTTACTGACTTGAGAGAGTTTGCAGGCCACAGTGCACTAGGGGAAACACAGGTAGAGCCCAATAGATTCTTTGAAATGAGTTTGAAATGAGAAGATAAAGTTGGGAGTTGGGAAGAACAAGGCAGAGTTCAAAGATTAGTACTGAATAAGAGAGTACTGCAGACAGAATATGATTAAGACATCAATTCTTCCTGAAGCAAATCCATAGATTCAAGGTGATTCAAATTAAAAAAACATTAACAACCTAATTCTAAAAATTTATATGGAAAGGCAAAGTAACTAAAATAGCCAAACTACTTTTGAAAAGGAACAACATTGAAGTACTC